CTGGAAAAAGACACAGAATTCCCAGCCAGAGTCAAAGCACTACTCGCCAACCACGTCAGCGCCAGTCCTCAGGAGTCACAGTATTTTCTGGCCTGAGTTCTCAATGTCTCCTTTCCCAAAAGGTGCTGTGTGACATAGTACAGAAGAGAATCTCAAACCTTTTAAAATGCAAATCTTTTCTCATAAGTAAAAACCATCTCTGTCTCCCACTCGTGGGCATCTACCCAGAACCTTACAAGTGAGGATAAGGTAAAGACACTAGCACATCCATGTTCATTGCTGCACTCCCCACAATAGCCAAGTTATGGAAACAGCCCAGATGCCCTACAAAGGCTGAGTGGGTCAAGTAGATGTGGTATATACATAACAATGGAAAGAATAGGATGTCTTTTTTTAGGGAAATGAATGGTCCTAGAAAGAATTATGCCCGGTGAAGTAAGTCAGGCTCAGAGAAACAAACAGTGCATGTTTTCTCTCATATGTAGAAGCTAGATCTAAAATACAACCATATGTGATAACATATACAAGGTTTTATGCATATCCACAGAAACTAACTAAAGGATGGTATACTTATGGGAATATGTTGATGGTGTAACTCCTCTGAACAACTAACCAACTGTTTACCAAAATGAATACCAGGAAGTGATACTCATAAATGAAGGGAGGAAGGGTGAGTAAATATAGTCATTTTAATCCATGAACATTATGTAACAATTCAACTATGTAATTAGAAGGGAGGGAAAACAATGGAAGAGGTGTATAAGGTGCATTCTACTCACAATCTGGGTTATGGAACTGTAACCTCTTTGAATAGTTACTTAAAAGAGAATTTTAGTTATTAGCAGAAAAATGTAATCTCTGCCTTCCAAGGCCATTTGACCTACAGGTATTCTCCGGAAGAGTCCGGAACAGAGGCGCTTGCTCAATAGATGGGAGAGAGTATGAGGAACCCAGAGAGAACGGCCTCCTGACACACAGACACGGATGCGTCTCGACCAGGAGGGAGGTGGTTAATTCATTAGACACACAGATACCCAAGAGCCCAGGTTGTCCTGAAGCCCAAGTTGAGAAAGATTGCTATTCTAAAAGTCGTGTTGTTTCCTTTGATAAAAAAAAAAAAATATTCTCAGGGGCTGGGAAGATAGCTCAGTGGTAGAGCGCTTGCCTTGCATGCCTGAGGTCCTGGGTTCAATTCCTCAGCACCACATAAGCAAAAAAAGAAAAAAGCCAGAAGTGGCATTGTGGCTCAAGTGGTAGAGCACTAGTCTTGAGCTGAAGCGCTGAGGGACCGCACCCAGGCCCAGAGTTCAGGCCCCACGACCGGACCCAGAAAAAAAAAATTCTCTCTCTCCCCTTCTCCCGCCTCCCCCTCCATTGTTTGCCAGACTGGGAGCTGATACAAGCCTTTTGTTCATAGCTGGCACCACTCTACCACTTGAGCTCCACATCTATTTTCAGTTTTTTTTTTTGTTGGTCCATTGAAGATGCATTTCTTAGGTTTATCTGCCCAGTCTGGCTTTGAACCAGAACCTCAGATCTCAGTCTCTTGAGTAGCTAGGATTATAGGTGGAAGCTGCTGGTGCCCAAGTTCAAAAATGTTGTAAATTAAAAATGGGAAATAGAATGCCAGAAATTCTCTGAAAGGTGATCTCAGTGAACCAGTTTGTGCGAGATTATGCAATGTATGTATGTTAATATTCTAATTTTTTTGACACAATGTTGGCATGATGTTTTATAAAATAATTAAATTTCTAAAATAAATTTTTTTGACCCTTTACAAAAATAGTAACTTAGAAAAGCAGGAAAAAAACCTGGAAAGCAAGAGGAGATATTTTATAATAAAGCTCATATCTACATTCGTTTGCTTTCAAAAAAATTGGACAGCCAGGCGCTAGTGGCTCATACCCATCTTTCCTAGCTACTCGGAGGCTGAGATTAGAGGATCATCTCATCTCCAGGTTTTTTTGGAAGTGGAGCTGTGGCACAAGTGCTAGAGTGCTAGCCCTGAGCAACAAAGCTCAGAGAAAGTGCCTAGGCCCTGAGGTCAAGCTCCCAAGTCCAACACACACACACACACACCACACACCACACAAACACACACACACACCACACACACACACACACACACACACACACACACACACACACACACACACACACTTGGATAGTGCCTTAGTGAGCTAGCTGTGAACTGTACCAACTTCTTCCCTCTACCGTCAAAGACATGGACCTGGTTACCGTCAAAGACATGGACCTGGTTGTGTGGGATGTAAATACATTTCCCGCCACCCTCACGTTCTTTCCCAGAGATGAGACGAGCAGAACGCCATCTCCTAAGCCACACTTCTAGCACAGTTGCCTTTCTCAGACCTTCCATTTCTCCTCAGTCTTAGGCTTCACCTCCACCCACTGTTTCAAGACTTGTGTTTTGCGCCACTTAGGCATATTACAGCTCACTAAGTTTGTGTCCATTTGGGACTGTAAACAGTAAACAAATGTCCAGCTGAGGAAAACCCGGGAACACAGACACAACAGTGTAAACCTAAGTGCTGTGTGTGTGAAAGGTTATCTACATGAAACAGCGTGTACATGATCGCGTAACACACACGCGCTAAGCAGCTGCAGGAAGAACACGGGAGGGAAATAGGCAAATGGCACCACCCTGACCTTGGGTCAGACTTGCTCGTTTTGAATTTAGGACAAGATGAAGAAAACCTAACTAAGCAATAGACTCTTTCCTTTTGCATTTGCTGTTTCAGTAATTTCCTTTCCAAGAGCAAGGAGTATTTTCCACCCTTCCTCAACCAAAAAAAACCCCAACAAAACACAGGTCTTTTTTTTTTTTTTTTTAAGAAAAATGGAAGATTAAGTGTAGAATAGCAATATGATTTATGAGCTTTATTTTTAAGGCCTATACATTTAGTCACATTGTTTGTCTTCACCCTGCAGCTGTCCGCCCTCGGAGCGGATATATGGTCATCATTTAATCTCGCGGCCGTGTATGACCAGGCAGACTGGACGGGGTGTGATACCACAGCCCACCATCCACCATCCCCACTGCCCGCCCTCCCAGCACCTTGAATAATTGCTGGAGATTAAATGGCAATTGTTTGGCTAACTGTGCCCTTAAATTCCCTGTCAGAGCTTAACTGATCCATCCTCTCTTTCCCTTTCTGATTCCTAAGACACCCTCAAAGGTTCATTTTCTGCTGAAGAGTCACTTTCATAGCTGGTGATTCAGATTGTTTCTAGATTTATAGGCCTCTTGCTCTGGGGTGAAAGAGGTTCTGTGCCTGCCAAATGAATGGCTGCATAGGGGAGTTGTAAATAAGTTCTTCAGAGAACAATATTTTGTAATCCCAACCCCTCCCTCCTGTTCTGATGATAACGTAGGAAGCCTGCGCTGTGAAATATCTACCGGTTCAGTAATAGAGAATTTCATGTACCTGATTTATACACGTTACCTTGGTTGCCCTTCCTGTGGCTTTGTAAAGTATTTAAAAAGGATTAAAGACGTTATCTTGCCACCAAGAGAAGCAGTTGGTACCCTAAGAGATGAACGGGTTGTAGCCTGCCCTCCCAGGGCAGGTCGCTGGCCTCCTGAGCAGACTAAGCAGTGGGCAGCCTGGAAGAAAAGAGAATGGCCATGCAGAGAGGGAGGTGCTGGGCAGCGGTGCACTCTCTGGTGGGCGGCTGGAGGAGCGCGGGCTCCTGGGGAGGCAGATTAGATAGTCAGCCTCACACCTGGAGCAGGGAACTGGGCACTGGCCAGAGCCTAGACACCAAGGGAATGGAGGCAGAGAACCGGAGCTTGGGTGCTATTTTGAGGTGCACCTGGGAAGTTATGGCATTGGGTCTGGGACAGAAGGGTCGAGGACAGCGCAGAGGACTGTGGAGGAATAAGAACGATGCTCATGGAGACTGGTTTGGGCTGGATAGAGTGAATCGAGGGTGGAGACAGTTGGTATATGAATATCCATGTGTTGAAATATTGAATGGAGAGGTTGCATGTGGCAGGGTACTAGATCACCCGCCTAGTGTGTAGAGTAGCTCTGGGCTAGGAAAATAATGGAAAGAAATGAGCTTTCAACACTGCTTTTAAAGGAACTTGGAATATCATAGTCGGAAGGTAATTGAATAATCCAGATGGATGCAGGTGTGTGTGCTTTACATCTCCTCCAAGTCTGCCGGTCCACTGACCTTGTCAGCTGTTCAGAAATTGAAACTATGCAGGAATGCTCAGGTCACTACAAATCTTTGATGTCCATGGACTTCTTCCCCCCCCCAAACTCATTTGCCCTTCCTACAGAAATCTTGCTTCTTAGAGACATTTCCCCCCCTGCATTTTCAAACATATGCGATCAGATGAAAGAGCTTTTAATGTTAAACTAATGTGTCTTGATCTTTGACATCTACAGGCTGTGTGGTTAACTTTTCCTATGGACAGAAGAAATGGATGCAGAGAGTCCCCCAACTTAGGGAGGTTCCAGTTAGGAGTTTTGGTGATGAAGGGTACACATTTTTACTTTTGGTAGCGGCCAGGCTTTGCGTTTTGATTTTAGCCTGGTGGTAGGTAATTTAAGAGCCAGCCTCCCATCAGCCAGATGGGAGTGAGCGGGAACGGCTAGTGTGCTGTGGTGTGGAGTGTTGTTCAGCTAGGATATTCAGGAGGTGAGGTACACTCTTCACAGTATTTTCGACTTAACCATGGGTTTATCAGATTGCAACTCCCATTGTAAGTCAAAGAGCACCTGTATCTTAGAAAGTTGTAGCCCCTGTGTTTTGCACTTACTCAGATAGATAAGATTGCATTCTCCACCAACCTGGAGAAGTAAAATCGTATGTGTGGTGTGGGGCGGACTCACTTTGGGAGGGTTCAGAGAGGACTGCGCTGGTCTGGAGCGACGGGAGCTGCACTCTGGCCAGAAGAGTCGGCTATGGAGCATGTGGTGTTCTGTGCTCTTGTCCTGTTCATCCTGTCCTTCAAACTTCCTTCTTAGGCTAAGCCAGACCCGACCGTCGATGGTCCAGTGGCTTAACCAGCAGTCTCAGAGCGCGCCAGGCACCAACGCCGCCGTGACTCCTCCCTCACCCAGGTCCGCGTCTTTCCCCATCTCTCCTGCTGCCTCTCTTGTGGACAAGCTTCCTGAAAGGTACGTGGCGTGGATCAGGATGTGGATGGTGATCATGGCACACAGAGAGAGGCTCTACACACTGACAGACAGCAGAGAAGTGGGCGTAAGATCAGTGTGTGTATGTGAGCATAAGTGTTTAGAGACACTGCAGTGAAACCCTTTACTTGGTGCAGTAATATACACTAATAAGCGTACTTGTAAAAAGCCAGTCATAATGTAGTTATAAGCCAGTCCGCCTTCTGTCCCGTCCCTTCTATAAAATAGCGGAACACTTGCATAGAACCCACAATGGTATCAGTCATGTCTAGATAACCTAATATTTAACACGTGTAAAGCGGTTGTTACACTGTCTTGAGGGTGGAAAGCGCGCCAGGACACCTTGGGTAATCAGATGCGGTTTGGACTGGAATATTTCCGCTGCAGTGTCAGTTGAGTCTGCAGACGTGGAGTCCAGAGGCCCGCAGCGTGGACTGCTGTGTGTGTCACGGGGCGGGTTCAGCCAAGTCCCACAGAACCCGCTACTCCTGCGACTGTGCATCCCACAGAACCCGCTACTCCTTCTGCTACTGTGCATCCCACAGAACCCGCTACTCCTTCTGCGACTGTGCAGTTATCGACTCCGTTACTTTGGAAAAACGTTGTTTTGTCGGTGCATATCGAACACCTTCTTTGTATTGAAGGAAGGCAGCCTGGGCACGGGGAACATGAACGCTTGCGGCCACTTACTGAGCAGAAGATCTGTAGAGGGCAGAGGGTGTGGCCATCAGCAAACTTGCCGGCCAGGATGTGGGCGGAGGTGGTTCTGACTCCCGTGAAAGGGGGTGCTCTCTGCCCCGACGTGGGGTGCCCTTCTCCCGAGGAGTTTGCCTGCTGCTGACACAGGCGGGGCGTGAGAAGTGGGTGGGATTCGCGCTGCCAGACGTTGCAGTTTCCTGCAAGCCTTTCTTCGCTCTTCGCCCCGCAGCATTCTCAGTCGCAAGGCCCGCGCCGTGTACCCCTGCGAAGCGGAGCACAGCTCGGAGCTGTCGTTTGAAATAGGAGCCATCTTCGAGGACGGTGAGTGTGTGGGAGCTTTGTGGTGCTGAGTGGTGACACCAGGATGTGTCACACCTCCACAGGGGACACGGGACGTCCTGGGGACCTCATCACTGCCCATAGCCTTGTGGCGATGTCCCTGGCATGTGGGCACTGGTCGTATCTGTGCTGGGGCACCCTGGGGACCGAGAGCTGCCCCCTTTGAGGCTCCCAGAGCACCACGGTGCCGGGTTGTTGGGAAGCATTTGCTTGGACCGCTCGGAGTTGAGAAGCTAGCTCTCCTCACAGCTTTTCTATTCTCGCTTCTCCTGAGACCCTCACCGAACCCCTCCGCTGCTCAGGTCACTGTCGCTGTCCCCACAGCAGAGCCCCACGGCCACGCGCTCCCTTCACACCCACGCCCGCTACCTGTGGACTGGAGCTGGGCGTGACTCTCTGTGTGTGGGCATTGACTGGAAACATGGCGGGGGTTTTCGTTTGAGTGCTTGAATGTTCACACGTGGGCCTTGAGGACCTCTGTCCGACTGAATATTCCACACATCGCCCCTGTGGTTTTGTCTGTGTGTTTCTCCCCCCATTTCTTGCCTCCCTAGACCTGCTCATTATGAAATTCACCAGTTGCTGTGGCAACAGTGATGGGGTGTGTGGGTGGAGCTCCCCAAAAGAGTTCTGGGGAAGCGGGGTGCTGGGCTGGAGGAGGGCACGGCTGATCAGCCCCAGAATGCAGCAACGTGGGGCAGAATGGGAGGCTGGCATCCACGCAGCTTAGCTGAGGACTGTGTCTCAGTGAGTGAGTTACCGCTTAGAATAGGTGTGTGTGTGTGTGTGTGTGTGTGTGTGTGTGTGTGTGTGTGTGTGTGTGATTTGTCTCATGAGAGCCAGAGGCGCTGCCAGCGTGAGAAAACAAGCAACACCACCACAGTGCACACAACAGAATGATAGTTGGGAGAGCAATTTTGCTTTTGGAGCGTTAGCAGGATCGTTCCTCTGTCCTCATGTCATCCGTCCAGCCACCGCGGCCGCGCAGAGCCTGCTGGAGGCCGTTCTACGGCAGCGCGGCAGATGGCAGAAGGAGAGCTGAGACGGGCATGTTAAAATGCTCCTGTTCAAGGAATGGGGATAATTTTTACTTTGTGTGACTGAGCCTCTGACATCCTTGTGTAGTTTTGGTGAGATAATTACCTGGGTAGAGGCGTAGCATAAAGGATGCAAGTAACAAAAATGGACTCAATTGGCTCTCTCAGCCTGAAATGGGCTTACATGATAATCCATTGAAATGAGCTGCTCCGGGGCTGATTATCTAAAACTGTCACCAAAGATCAACGTATTCCATGCGGTCTTGGACCCCGGCTGCTGCTGGGGACAGATGGTGGCCGCAGCTCCTCCCCACACTCAGCTCCAGCGAAGGGAGCTCTCACCCCGCGCTCCTCTTCTGTAATGAGAAAGTTTCTAGAGCTGGAACTTTCGTCCGAATTCCTCAGCTCCCGTGTCTCACTGGTCAGAACTGGTTCAAATGCTTGCTTTAAACTCATTGCTGGCCAGCCCTTCGATTGGTGAGAATGCATGCCGGGGGATGGAGCCGGAGGAATGAGGTCTGTGCCTAAACCAAACCCGAGTCTGCGGGAGAAAAGGGGGCCGCTGGGAGTGTCCGCCCCCAGGGCTCAGCTTCTCTAGCTCTTAGGTCCCTGGATGGCTTCCTGAAAGACAAGGAGTGACACACGTGTGCGTGTGTAAGTCACATAAACGCACAGTGTCAGACTTGCCAGGTCTTACTTCGTGTGGTTCTGAAGGCAAATGCCAGACCATTCATCGCCAACACGGAGATCAGACCATGGCTCCTCCCTTTCTGAGGGCCCTGGGCAGAGTTCTGGGGTTCTCTATGTACCAGGCCTTTCGTTCCAGTCTATAAGGATGTCTGCCACACTGATGTCCTGCCAGGCTGGCCTGAGGGGCTGCTGGAGCGCGCCGCTTTGAGCTATGGCTGACCCGTGGCTGACCCGTGGCTGGCCATTTTGCCACGATGAGCCTTACATTTTCAGCCTGTGGTGCTGGTGTCCAGCTGTGTCTAGACTTGCTAGCTGGGCAACCAGGGTGTCTCTACAGGGCCTTAGTCCCTCCCCCAAGACCCTGTCATTCACACATGCCTCGTTGCTGAGCTGACTTCCCTACCCACACAGGTGGGCATTTCACTTTCTGTGCATGCTTGATCTCAGCTAGCTCCAAAGCATGTACATGTCTGCCGATGGCCGCCCTTCGATGGCTGTCGGGGGTCTTCCCTCCTGAAGCCTGATGTGGAGCAAGACAGCAGGCAGGTCATACGACCTCAGCTTCTGTGGATCCGGGCAGGCCTCCAAGAGGCCACTATTTACAGCTCAGCCTGCAGGCGTGTCTCCAGGAACACGCCCTTTCTGAAGAGCAGCAGTGAGTCGGTGTCCCTAAAACACCCAAGGCATTTTTCCTGCGGTCACTTAGCCATTTGGAATCTCATGTGGAATTGGCATTCTCACATGATCCTGTAGTGCGACAAAGGAAACCAGCCTATGACTTTCAGTGGCCTTTGGAGAAGGCCAGAGCCAGGTCAGAGTGACCCCGAGGCTGCACTGTCGGTAGTTATGTGGTTTGGGATGTGCACAGCCGGGCAGTTAGAAACCAGAGCATCCGGAAGGACGGGGCGCTCAGTGGGCCGTCCATGCTCCGTGCCCTCCCTGTGTGCCAGACTTCACTTGACTTGAGCTTCTAGCCGCAGATTTGTTCCTGTCGTACTGAGAGAGGAATGCCCTCATTCTCCACCAGGGAGGGCCATGTTTGTGTGGGCTCAGGGCAGCGGATGCTCCTGTCCCTGCCAGAGACCCTTTTCACTGAGGCTGGGGACCCTAGAAACTCATTTTACTGGGGGCTGCGCAGCTGACAGACCCTCTGGGCGAAGAGGAAGTGGCTGCATACCAAGGGCTGCTGGGTTGTGCGAGGCAGCCACAGTCGGGGTGCAGCTGCTCCCGCAGGCTCAGGCTGTGTGTTAGCCGCACCTGGGACATGAGGTTCCCTTAGTATGGGAGCAAACATGAACCAAATTGCTCCTTCAAATATGTAGACTACTCTAAAAAATTAGCTTGATACTGTTCTGGGAAGTTGATCTCACAGCCCAGCAGTGTTGAGATCTGTTCCCAACATGGGGGGAATCTTAGAAATGTCAGATGCCAGACAGCTCTTGTGTACACCATGTGATCGTAGTTAACTCAGAAAGCAACAATCAGTACGGGTATTTGGGACATGGACTTTAACCATAAGGAGATCTCCTGGACGAGGCAACGTCAGTGGGGAGACAGGGCCTGCTGACCTCCACCAGGCCTGGTTTCAGGTCCTACGTCCCAGCTATGAGAAGGCCGCTGGAGCCGAGAGCAGACCCCGAACACCAGGACTGACAGGAAGCTTGGGTTTGGCTTGAAGCAGGGAATGATGTGCTAGATGCATTCTAGAAAGTTCACCAGGCAGCTTTGCATAGTGCCTTAGAAGGGGCCAGAAATGGAAACCGGGCACAGACAGTTCAGTGTGCGGAGAAGACAGGTGGGCGCTGTGCTGGCCAGGCCAGCTATGGATGGTCAGAGCACTGACTGGAAGTCACAGCTCTGATGGCCACGCCCACTGGCCACGCCCACCAACCAACCACGCCCCATGCGACCCGCCCACCAAAGCCCACACCCTCAACTGGCCGTGCCCTCATGTCCCACCCATCCTCTGGCCATGCCCCCGTATGTCCCGCCCACCAAAGACCACGCCCTCTATTGGCCACGCCCTGCACGTACCGCCCTCTGACCACGCCCCCTGGGCCCGTGTCCCTCCTGGTAAAAGCAGTTTCTGTTCCTTTGCAGTGCAAACCTCCCGGGAGCCTGGCTGGCTGGAAGGGACGCTGAACGGCAAGAGGGGGCTCATTCCACAGAACTACGTCAAGCTGCTGTAGCTCCGGGCCCCCCCCCCCCGCCCCTCCACCGATCCTGGCACCCGCCCCCCGCATGCCACATCCACACTCCGGAGTCTGGGGTCACCACCGGCACCCCAGGGCCGGGCGGCTCGGCAGAGTGGACGGTGCACTGGGCAGCCGCGTCAGGACTGGTGATTTTGAGTTACCTGGGCGTGACAGCGTCGGAGGGAAAGCAGCCCTGCCGTGTCCCCGACGGGGCGGGGGTGGGGGCCCAGGCCCACGGAGGAGCCCTCTCCTCTGCCCCGCCCTGGGCACAGCACGCAGGGCGCAGCCCAGCAGGCCCAGGGGGCTTTTCCAGGCCTGCTCCCCCTGGCCAGCCTCCTGGGCGCCCCTCGCCTATTTATAGCAGCTTCTGGTCGGTGCTCCTCACCTGTGTGCTGTTAGCCCTGTGTACAGGAAATAAAACGTTATTTACTACTAGTCCGGTCTGGCCTGATGTGGAGGGGAGCATGGTGGAATTCACAAGCCTGTCACTCGGGTGATTTGGCAGCCCCTGGGTGGAAAGTCATGGTGCTCGCGTGGTATCATGCAGTCGCTGGATGGCTGTCCTGTCTACCACAGGACAGGGTACCTGCTGGGGCGTGGCCCTGTCCCCACTCATGGTGGAATCCTGAGAGGCTGCTTGCTGCCTCCCCCTGGCCTTCCCCTCCCCAGAATGAGCAGGACTGGAGCTGGGTGTTCAGACATGAGCTGTCTGTGTGCCCACCAGACCTCGCTCTCGGCCAGCTTGTTCAGTAGCTCCCTCCCAACCACCAGCCTGCCCCCTGCCTCATCGGATTAGGCTCAGCTTTAGGCGGGCAGAGGCCAGCGGCTCGGGACCCCAGACCCTCCATGCATCCCCAGGTGGCAGCCCTCTTTCCCCTCCGCGTCTTGATTTCCGCTCGGGCTGAGCAGCCTCTCGGGAACCGGGCCTTTCCTTTATGCAGAGCTCAGTGCTGTAGGCCTCACCATGCTGCAGCCAGCCCCGTGCCAGGGGGTGACCACGTGTCCTGAACCTGTCATCGTGCGAGAATTACCCAAGGCCCAGTGCCAGTAGCTCATGCCCAGAATCCTAGCTACTCAAGAGACTGGTATTGGAGGACTTGAGGTTTAACACCAACTACAACAGACAAATTCAAGACCAAGGAAAAGCTGCAACCGGAGGCATGGCTCAAATAGTAATGTGCCAGCCATGAGTGAAAAGCCAAGCAAGAGCACAAGGCCCTGACTTCCAGCCTTGGTGTCCACACTTTTTTTTTTTTTAAAGAATCAGGAGAAAGGTGTGTCACCATCTCTTCTGATGTCACCTCATGTGGTCTGTTAGCTCATGTTGTCTGCATCGGGGTGTCAAGTCTGGAGTTCTGCTTTGAATCTGAGAATTCCCCCCAAAGACTTGTGTGCAAAGGTTTGGGCTGCGGCTGCCGGTGACACTCTTTGCAGGTGGTTTGAGAGGCGCTACCTAGGTTATGTCAAGATCAGGGACCTTGTTCTCTACCGTTCTCTCTCAGTCTTGACCACAAGAGTTCACTCTGCCTCAGGTCTCTGTCAGATGGTGCCTTTCCAAAGCCCAGCCCGTGCTACAGCGAGCAGCCCTGAGACCCGAATCTGAGCAGCTTGTCCTCAGAGATTGGGCAGCACCCTGTGTTCTGAACGGTCATGTCCTGTCCTACTTGGCTGCCGAAGGGGTGTAGAAGGGAAATGTGGCTGCTGAGAAGAGCCTCCATGTTTGGCTACTTGTATGAAGTCCTGTGCAGGAATGGGCACTGGTGGACAGGCGTTGCAGGCTCAGCCCTGACCGTGTCCCCAGCAGAATGCCTAACTGGTATGCCCCAGGGGACATTCAACATGCCAAGACACGATCTGCTCATTTAAGGTAGGTACCCCGGGTTCACAGCGAGGTATGCCATTCCCCAGTGTGCTTTACGACCATGAATGCTTGAAGTCACCACGTCTGGCTCTTCCTGTCACCTTTGGTAGAATAAATCATCACCACGATTGGTTTGTTTCCTACAAAAGCAGTTCACTCCAGAGGTTTGGAGTTGAATAGAAGCAGAGTCTGGCGTGGAGTGTGCTTAATGGCTGGCATTTAGCACCTGTGCAAATACTTGAGGCAGAGCAGGAGCAGCTGGGTCGAAATCAGGTGGCTGAGGACACGAAGAGCCACAGGTGTATCAGACTATGGGAGAAACTTGTAAGTCACGCTCCTAGCAACACGTATTGTCCAGATGAGGATGGGACTGACTGGTAGGGCAGGTGGATTGGCGATTCCAAGCTTTCATCCCTCCCTAGATCCATGTTCTTTCATAAAGAGCCCTTGCTGATTGCACCTGACCAGCCAGAAGCAAGCTTGATGCAACCAGAGGAATGGGAGATGTTGGACTCCCAGTGTCTTCTCAGAGCCCTGCCTGTGCCCAGGCTGGCTAGCTGGAGGATAAGAGTCTACAACGGAGCAGGGCCAGACACACGAACAAGTCCAGCTCTGCCACAGCCTGGCCAGGATCAGAAGGCCACTGTGAGCCAACTCACTGACTCCCAATGGAGGAGCTACATAACCAAATTGCGGACTGAGGCGCTAACAGCCTACTACTTGGCCACACACTTCGCTTTGCTTTGGACAGCCTTGGTGAATACTGAGATTATGGCTGAGGATGCTTTACCCAACATTAGTTGGGATGACACTGTTTTAACTGCTGAGAAAAATGCCGCCCTAACCATCAGGTGGCTTTCATTTCAAGGGCCCCGAGATGCTTTGAATCAAGTCGTTTAGTCTGTGTATCCTTGCACAGCGTATTTTTCTTAAGTATGTTAGCACTGATGTTTGCGTAAAGGGACAGCGTCTTCTATTTGCAGTGAGCATGCAGAAGGGAACGAGAGCCTTGTACACACAACAGGAGGTTGGTTTTACGGCTGTGGTGCTCTTAGCCGGCAGAGCTGCGCTGATGGTTCCTAAATGTGGATTCTATGGGCCTAAGAGAAATTCTTAACGTGAAATAACAGTTGAGCTGACCCAGGAGAGCTCGCCAGCTTTCACCAGAGCCAGGATTCTTTTTGGTTGCAAGTGAGGAGCTGTGAAAAACCCTCTCTCTGAACAGGTGGTTTCATAAATTCTGTAAATATAAATGTGCTCTCACTTACAAATGTTTTACAAGATAGGAAAAAAAAATCCAACCCAGTCTTTTCCTGCCCTGTGTTCATGGCTCTGCTGGGTTTTAGAGTTACAGCTGCTGTGTTCAAGAATTGACTTTGTTGATGGAAAAGTTTTCCTGCAAGCAAGTCGTTTCACTGCTCCCCTGTTAAATGACACGTGTATTTGGGTTGATGTAGTGGGAAATAAAGGTTGTGTATTTTAAAATGAACCTGCTGTCGGGCACCAGGGCCTAGCTACTCAGGAGGCTGAGATCTGAGGATCGTTATTCAAAACCAACTCCCAGCAAGAAAGGCTTCTCTCCAATTCACCAGCAAAAGGTCAGAGGTGAAGCTGAATGCCAGCCCTTGAGTAGAAAAGCCAAGTAAAGGCACCAGCCTGGTAGCTGGGGCACCACTCCTGGCACACACCCACAAACCACGGGATGCTGGTCATGGCTTAGCGTTCTTTCGTGTCCGTGTTTCTGAGCAGAGTCCAGGGGAGAAGCTTATGGAGAGGGACTCCCAGGCTACTGGGGACTGAGCACACACGGGGAAGCACTGAGGAGTCATGGGCATTGGGCGTGCACTCATGGGACGCTCGGTGTGGAGTGAGCCTGTGTATGTGTGGATGGCAGAAGCAGCGCTGTGTAGATTGCTCATTAACACAGGGCTCCGCAGAGAAGTGGAATAGCAGAGTACGCAGAAGTGAGGAGGCCTAGGCAGGCCTCCCGCGCAACGCTCTTTCTGCACGCCAAGCCTGCGCCCCATCTGCCGTGGGCAGAAAGCAGCAGCGCTGGCACGGCGCCGGTACCTGCGCACCTGCAAATGAACTGCTTCCCAAACAACAGGCGATGAAAGTAAAGGATTTATTGTAATCTGCGTACAGTCCTTTGCAAAGACAGACATGTTTTTGCATAAAGATATAAATTGCTTCATTTTAAACTAGTTTAGTGTTTCTTTTTTTAATTATATGAAGAAGTTTTGGTGAATTATGAATTGTACCAAACCAAGGTATTTTCCTTTTTTTTTTTTAAAGAGCAATATGGTACAAAAATAAGAGCAGACAGACAGGTTTGGACTGGGACAGGCATTGAACAGTGAAATTTCAAATATGGCTTTGCTGTTTCATCAAGCAAAGTTGCCGAGACACACATGAAGAACCAGTCACTTCCTTAATGCCAGGAACGGACGCAGACGGCCTCCATCTCGAACCCAGTGACGCAGAAATCCCAATTTCATAAACATCTGAACTCGAAGCTGCTTTCCTGGCCGTTTCTGCCTTCCAGAGCCTCTCGGTCTGCAGACGGTGGGTCTGTGGCTTCCGAACGTGTTTTTCAAATAGCTGTGCTGGAAGTGGACTGCGCGGAAAGATCTGCCTAGAAACTAAAATCGGGAAAGTTGCAAATTATGTAAGAAAAGCTCCTCCCTCTGAGTGCAACTTTTCGCAGGTGTCTTTTGAAAGACAAGGTCACGTGGCTGGCAGGGGAACCCTGGAGAATGGGGTTCCCAGACTGCTGCCTGCCCGCCCGGCCTTCAGCTTGAGCTACAGCTTTTAGCTATTGGAAAATAATGTGATTTCACTGAGCATCGGATGGTTATCACCATCGCTATAAAAAGATTAATTTGGCCTCTATTCAAAGTAGTTCATTTAGTGCAATCACTGGGAAGTTTCCCCAAAGATACACAGCGTTGTGATTTGGGAGGGAATAGGGGGCAGGAAGAACCTCATAAATTACATCAGTGCCAAACGGATTTGTGAATTAAAAAAAAAAATTAGTGCCACTGTCTTGCTTCTATCATCTGTAGTGTTTTTGTTTTTCTCCAAAACGGTTTATGTATAAAATTTCTTTTTTAAAACCTACCTTAAAAAAAAAATCTAAAAACCCTCTAGTGATCTGGTCTCCTCCCCGCCCTGACTAACCCAGCTCGACGCACCTCCCTGCGGCTCTGCCAGCCAGCCCGCGGCGCAGGAGGCCGCCCCGCCCCACCACAGACAGACAGCAGAGCGCATGGAATTTGCTTTTCTCCCCAAAGGAGCAGGTTGGGCTTTCTGAAAATGGAAGGAGCGGAGCTTCCGGCCTCCCCCTGGGAGAGCAGATTCTGCTTCTTGTGGAAAGAGGGAGAGAGACAGAGAAGCTTCTGGAAAGCTGCAGCACTGCCCGATCTTCCAGCCCAGGGCACTGTCCAGAGACACCTGCGGGAGCCTCCGCCACCATGGGGCGCTGGGTGGTCCCCCCTGTGGAAGTCGGGTGAGGCGGGAGCTGACAGACTGGGCCAGGACCCCCGTGCACCCCAAGTAGGAGACCGAGAACAAA